CCATCGTATCAATTTTGAATGATTTATTGCACCAGGTGCATCGAGCAGCAGTCGGTACTTTGGGATCCGGCGCGCTCCATGCATAATCCTTCTCATACCTCGTCGAATATTTTGTAGTCATGGTTATTTGCTCCAACTTTCTCAAATTTCACTACTCTTATTTGATAGTTTTACACTTATATAAACACAGATGGAAAAGCGTCTCACCTTTTTTCAATGCAAATGCGGTTTTGAACAGGCCAATGCTCGCGAAATGAATGAAAAAAACACGAAGCTTTTTCATTGACGAAGGTTGATAGCTCGTCGTCGGGTCGGTACGTTTCAGAACATACCAATACATGCGAAGAGCCGAACGTGAGGTAAACGAAAAAGCTTTTAAAAGAGAATGTCGAACGAACCCGATCGTCCAACTTTAAGCCGCTTATGTCGTTCGTTTTTGTTCTGGAGTAACAGCAGATCTGTACTACCGTACACCCAAATTTTTCAGGGTGTAGCTGTTTGGTGCATGTTTGTTTATAAACGAATGATGCTGAGCTGTCAATAGCTCGCACTTGTTGGCGCTCAGTGTTAGGTACACCTCGAAAACGGAATCGGTGTAAGAGAATAAAAGCTGCCATCGCCAGTCAACATCAAGGTGGGACTGATTAGCATTTTCGATTTATATTTAGCAAGTTGGACTGAGAAAGAGTGTGAACTTGTGCATAATTGGCCGATTTAAAGCTATTTTCTTGAATTGAGTTAGGGTGACTCTTAAAAAACAGTTTTTTGCTCTGTTTTTTCTTATTTCGAATTTCTCAGCAAAGTTGTCTTCAGATAACTTTTAGATCTTAAAAAGGCGCAAATTTTTGCTGCACAAAGCATGTCAATACCTTTCGCCGATCAAGAGTTATTGACGTTTGTATACTAAAAATATGCATTTTTCAAATGGTAATATCTCTGGTTGGGGCAAACAAAAAAAAAGTTTTTTTGCAGCATTTGAAAGGGCGTATGTTATTCTCAAAAATATGAAAAAATTGGAGGTATGTTATTTTTTAAACTCGTATAAAATCAATTTGAATTTATTCATATTTTTTACTTTATTTGAGTATATCTTTTTTATTAGAAGAGATACAGGCAACAAATTCAGCTATAAAACATTCGTCTTTAAGAGTTTTAAAAATGCTCTAGAAGATAACTTTCATGAGAATTTTCAAATAAAAAAGTTATTGCTAAAAAACTATTTTTTCCAGGAACACCCTAAGTCAACTCCGAAAAATTACTCTAAAATGAGAACGTTAAGAGATAGAAAAATAAATTCTTCTACAAAGTTGCTTGCAAGTAACTTAAGTACAACTTTTTTGAACAACACATGTTTATATTTTGTAAAACAAAAAAGTTAGTTTTAAAAATTCCCTAATTTGAGGACCACCCTGACGTCTGCAAACACCAAAAGAAGGGAATTTTTAAGAACAAAACTTCTTTGAAGACACTAAATGTCCAAATATTGAAACAAATGTACTATCTCATTTTATATAAATTTGTCATTAGAGTGGTCCTATGAAATCCATCTTTTGCCAATAACTTTTTTATTTGAAATTTATCATGAAAGTCATCTTGTAGAGACTTTTAAAACTCTTTAAAACGAATGTTTTATAGCTGAATTTGTTGCCTGTATCTCTTCTAATAAAAAAGATATACTCAAATATAGTAAAAAATATGAATAAATTCAAATTGATTTTATACGAGTTTAAAAAATAACATACCTCCAATTTTTTCATATTATTGAGAATAACATACGCCCTTTCAAATGCTGCCAATAAACTTTTTTTTTGTTTGCCCCAACCAGAGATATTAACATTTGAAAAGTGCATATTTTTAGTATAAAAACGTCAATAACTCTTGATCGGCGAAAGGTATTGACATGCTTTGTGCAGCAAAAATTTGCGCCTTTTTAAGATCTAAAAGTTATCTGAAGACACCTTTGCTGAGAAATTCGAAATAAGAAAAATAGAGCAAAAAAACTGTTTTTTTCAGAGCCACCCTAACTCAATTCAAGAAAATAGCTCTAAATCGGCCAATTTAAGAGATACAAAAAAGTTATTTTCAACAAAGTTGCTTGAAATTAGCTCAGCTATAACTTTGCCGAAGAATGTATACCTTAATTTATTCAAACAAAAAAGTTAGATTTTTGATTTTAATGATAATAGGAACCACCCTAGAATTCATTGTCATAAAAATGAGGGCCTAACTATAAGGAACAACTTTGTAGAAGAGACTTTTAGTCTAAAGTTTCAATTTCAGGCTCAAAACATATCATTCCAGCTAAATCTGCATTCTGGACCACTGTGCACTGCTAGGCACAGAGTGTGTATACACTTAACATACAAGACAACATAGTTGAAGATGCTAATTTCAAATAACAGACTGTAGTGGTAATTTTTATACGATAGATGGAGTAGATGAAAGCATAGAGTTCGTACGACTGGATGCCTTCCTTCAAATAACAATTGAAGTGCGGTAAAAATCGGTAGAACTGTTTCAAACACACAGTTGGTACTTGAACGGGTCGGTTTTCATCTCTTTTTGCCAGTGGTGGCGGGGGGGGGGGGGTGGGGACACCCCTCACCATCCCTCTCCAAAGGGGAAGTTTGGTAAAGAGAGATGAAAAAACCGATTTGTTGTACCTTCCTTAAAAGTTGTCCTAGTTCGCTATTCTAATATCTATATACAATCTTCACACTGCCGTACTCTAACGGAACTATCAACTCTATGCTTTCATCTACTCCATCTATCGTATAAAAATTACCACTACAGTCTGTTATTTGAAATTAGCATCTTCAACTATGTAAATCGTTGACTTCACGTTGAAGTAATACTAAAAACATATAGTCAAAAATACAAGACAACCTTTTGGGAAGTAAAGGGTTAAAGGAACGCCAAACAGGAACGATAGTCCGACTGGAGAAGGTAAGCCAGCTTCTTAATGGATGGGGCTGGTTAAGAGTTGATTTTACCTCCTCAAATCGAGTTATCTGTCATCCCTGTTTGGCGTTCTATTAACAGGTTCTAGCCACCATCTCGCTGTTATTTATCCGGAAGGGTTTTTTTCTTCTTGATTTGTTTCCGTCGATTTTGTTTTCCGGACTGAGTACCAATGCTACCGACGCGACGCCACCCGCATAAACACGAACTATAAATTGTTTATAATCCCTGCTAAACTTTAACTGAAATGGTTATGAAACTTTACATGAACGTTTGTATGATAAAGTTAAAACCTTATGTATTATGGTTTTTTGGAAGTGGACCTTACAAATAATGGGTTGTTAAGAACCATTACTGTACGCGATGAACGCTTCCAGTAGGAAAATGCACGACGTCATCGAATGGCGCATCCTGATTGGCTGACGCAGCCGAAGAAAGAATTGATTGCCCGAGCTTTCGTGTTTCGTCCAGTTCCTGTTCGTTCATCCACTGGTTGCAGGTGGTGTTCGATTCATCTTCCATAAGTTCCACCTAGTGGACACTTTTAAAAGAGTTCAACTTTCCTGCTGTCGGTGGCTTGATCACGATTTGTGTCGTGGTCCTTCGTTCGAGAGAGGCATCCCGTCGCTGGTGGCTGTAGCGTGTACCGCCAACGGTGACTCTTCGATTCATACGCTGGTGGCTGTGAAGTGCATAGCTGTCGGTGGCTCGATCACAAGGTAGGTTTTCGTCTGTGCTGTTGTGGTAAGGGCAATGAATCTACCCCAAGAGAAATTGAGTACATAACAATTACCATTCCAAATTCTTCATTTCTCCATACATTTTCGGAAAGAGAACTGTATTAGAACATTTAAACGAATGGTTTGAGAACTTTGATGGTTATGGTAGTCAGTAAGATCCATGAATGGTTTTGTAACAGCGATCAACTTTATGTGGAATATATCGTGACTTGGTTGCCTGTAAAATACTGATCACCAATTCACGATATATTCCACGTAAAGTTGACCGATAATACTAAACCATTCCCAACCTTACTAACTACCATAACCATTACTATTAAAGTTTTCAAACCATAAATAAAAAGGTTCTAATATAGTTCTTTTTCCGAAAATGTATGGAGAAAACAAGAATTTTGAATGGTAATGGTTCTTAACAACCCATTATTTATAAGGTCCACTTCCAAAAAAAAACTATAATACATAAGGTTAAAACTTTATCACACAAACGTTCATGTAAAGTTCCATAACCATTTCAGTTAAAGTTTAGGAGGGAGGGAGGGGAGGCAGGGAGGCAGCTCCCACTCCTGGACGCTACCTATCATCGACCCATCACACAATCACAGACCGGGGACCAACGGCTTTACTTCCCATCCGAAGGAAGACGTGATCAGAGATTTTATGCCTCAGATAATTCCGGCGGCGCCGACTAGGATTGAATTCATGCCTTTTGGGGTGAGAGGCAGTCACGCTTACCACTACACCACCGTCGCCGCTGAGATCTGGATTATTAATATTAATATTGTCCCCAATATGCAGAATCAAAGGTTTAATCGAGCAAACATCTAACTGTCCATAATCGGGCACTGTTCACAGATAAAAAGTATTAGCAAAGAAGAGAAATCAAGAATGATTCAAAACTTGGGATTAAACAATGGCTTCAATCACCGATTCCTCGTGATTATAAGCTCGATTTCGCAAACAAACTAAACCAACTGCTAAAGAAATCACTCTCCTACCTGATTGTGCAGTTAGATTGCAAGAATGAAATTATTAACGAGAAAACAAAAAAGGTGATTGAAGTCATCGTTTACAACACACATCTACCCAAATCTCGAATCCCTCCGAAAATAATACGTGTTGTCATAAACGACAAGGCACTTTGGAAAATATGCTGTAATGTGCAAAGGGAATACTAAATTAAAGGCAAGCTCAATGTTTTAGTACAAACGAAGAATAACACTACCTTATGCTATTTTAAACATCAAACAATATTTAAATGTAGGTGTAATGGCTATATAATTGATTGCAAAACGTACTCACCCATGAAGAGCAAGTTCATCATCAAGTAGAGACAGTTTTACTACATACGGATTAGTAGCATCGTGTTTTCTATAGTTGACCTGAAAAAGAAACGCAAAATTAGTAGCAAGTGCTGACGATATACAGAGAAAAGAAGCTGTCGTCTGATTGGATAGCTTTATTTGCCACATATTCAAACATAAGCTTCAGTCTGTGAACTGTGAACAATTCGAATAAAATTAAGAGCTTAAACTTACTAGAAGTGCCAAAAGAATTACAATATCGTGTCCATGTTCTAGACGTGCCGTTGAATCACTCAGAACCTTTTTCAAGGAGTCAAACAGATTGTTCGACATGATGTACTCCAGTAGCAAGTTGTCATCTAAATTATCAGTTCCTGAGGCGACAATGAACAGCAACTTGAAGCAGTAGTACCGCAGTGTGTCCGAGTTATCGCAGATAACCAATTCTTTAATTTTTTCCACCAGCTTTTTGATGTGTTCTTCGACGTCAGTAATTTGAAATTCAGAGAAAACGTTTTCAGTTCCATCTTCAGCATTGTTATATTTTTTAAACATTGTGTATGTTAGGATGGTAAGCGTAATAAGGGCATTATGTGTTCTTTTCACATCGTTGGAGTCCATTATTTCAACACATTTTTCCAATAGAAGGAAAAGATTTGATTTAGCTGCACACAATTTCGTTGCATCCAATTTTTGCAGCTCAGTCTCAAATGCCTCCGTGTTAGGTTGCAGCAGAAAGAATTCATTCCAGAAATTTTGTTTGTTACTGTCAGCATTCGCTCCGTGCAAGAGAAGTTCGTAAATATAGACCACTTTTTCCTTCGGTCGCTTTGAACCGGAACCGGAACGTTTCCTTGTGGCCATTACTTATCACTTTTGATATTAGATTCGTGTATAATAAATGCGAATCTTTGATCCACGCACAAAAACTCTCGACACTCGACAAACTAAACATCTGAACTGTCAAGTTGGCCACACGCACACGCTCAGACATTGTTACGCAGTGTTGGGTCGATGTCAATCATACAAAGTCTGGAACAACAAGTAGCTTGCTGCCCAGGGGGACCCTATCCCTGTCAACCACATATAGATGCACCATAGCTCACATGATCTTGACATTTTTGGAAAATCTGACACTTTTGGACATACTGACAGCGGTAAAACTGACGGAGGCACGACAGAACAAGACAGCTTACTTTTTCACACTTGCATTGCAGTGCTGAATGCTAGAAAGAGTAGTCTGTTGCAGTCATCCTCCTTACCCACTTTATTTATCACATTGATGTGAGCTCCGCCGAAATTCGTGATTGATGCCCCCGTGTTGCTGCCCGCATAAACGCGAACAGTCACATGACCTTACCGATAATGGTTATAAATTGTTTATAATCCCTGCTAAACTTCAACTGAAATGGTTATGGAACTTTACATGAACGTTTGTGTGATAAAGTTTTAACCTTATGTATTATGGTTTTTTGGAAGCGGACCTTACAAATAATGGGTTGTTAAGAACCATTACCATTCCAAATTCTTGTTTTCTCCATACATTTTCGGAAAGAGAACTATATTAGAACGTTTTTACTTATGGTTTGAGAACATTAATGGTTATGGTTACGGTAGTCAGTAAGGTCCATTAATGGTTTTGTAACTTTACGTGAAATATATCGTGAATTTGTAATCAGTAATTTACAGGCAACTAATTCGCGATATATTCCACATAAAGTTGATCGATGTTACAAAACCATTACTTTGGTTCGGGTGTAAAGGGCCTTAGAAAGTTTTTTTACAAATGCTTTTGTGCCGTTATCAAATGTTATGCCTGACTTTTCTGTCAAACGTGAACCAGCTCCTGATTGACCGATTTCATGTGCGTAAGATAGAGATAGAGATAGATAGAGATAGAGATAGAGATAACAATAAAAGATGAAGAAGCCAATAATTGTCACCTCTTCCTCTTAGAGAAAGAGAAGTCACTTCTACATGCTATTTTAAAACTACCCAAATTTGAGAAGAATCCATCCAGATAGGTCAAAACTGAACCTACCCAAAAATGGGTAAACTATGTTGGGAGTGACAAGAATTCTGGATCAAGAATAGAAAAGGGCCCATCAGCATTTGTAAACAAACCGTTCCAAAGCCCTTTATTCTCAATGCGAAGGCCACCCACGCAAACCAACACCATCATCGGATAGGGGAAACTTCTACCTACGATTATGGTGTTGGTTTGTGTGGGCGGCCTTCGATTTGTGAGGAATGGGCTTTGGAACGGTTTGTTTACAAATGCTGATGGGCCCTTTTCCATTGTTGATCCAGAATTGACATCTACCTACATGCATCCGATCGACTTTGTTCATTTCAAGAACAACATGTGAAAAGGGCATACAAGCTTTTTGTGATCAAACCTTCTTATGCCCTTTTCTCGCCACCCATATGACACCAACGCAAACCATCATCATCACCGGGTAGGGAAAACTATACTCTTCCCGATGATGTTGTTGGTTTGCGTGGGTGACCCTCGGTTGGCGAGAAAAGGGCCTACAAAGGTTTGTTAACAAAAAGCTTGTATGCCCTTTTCACATGTGGCTCTTGATTTTTCAACTTGCCACTCCTAACATAGTTTTCCCATTTTTGAGGAGGTTCAGTTTTGACAGATCTGGGTGGATTCTACCCAAATTTTGGAAGTTTTGAAATAGCGTGTACACTCTGATAGTATCACACAAAATTTAAATTACGGAATATCAGCAAACTTTTGCTGATTTTGAACTTGACGAATGATCAGCAATCTTTCCAGCAAAATAATGCTGCTGAAACTTCCAGCAATTCGATTTTCTGTCAAAATGACAATATTTGACTGAATGTCAGTAAATCTTTTATTGTTTGCTGAAGCTGCAGCAGACGAAAACATGACAACGTTCTACTGATTTTTCAGTAAGAAACAGAGAAACATTACCCTAATAAAAATTGTATGGTTAATTTGCTTAACGACGTGTTCTGGGTATCATCCAAACCATTTGTGGAATAGTTCAATGATTTGGGTTATCGTTCGTTTATGGTTATTTTTTATTAGGGTACTGAAACAACAGTAAATTTATTTAATTGAGGTTTTACTGATACTTCAGTTGTATATTGCAGAGCCAGTAGCAAAACTTTTTTTTTATTTCCTTTTAGTTTTAATGTTATTATTAAAATACATTTAAAAGTTCAATAAAGCCTTGAATAAAGCTGGTTAATAGGGGCGATTGCTGTTCAAAAATCAATTAGAAATCGAACTTGAAACGTTAAATGTTCCTTCTTTATTTCACTATATACATTTGTACTTCGCATACGTCATAAACAAATCCACAAAAACATAATATTTTTTATGTGCCCAACCTGTGCTCTTGCTTTGCATTTTTTTCTGAACGAAATCATCCCGGAAGCATATAGGGGCCACATTATGGAGCTCGAAACGAATTCCGATTTTGAGTTGAGTTCAGTAAAATATAGTTGCGTCATATAAAACTGTAACACCAGCGCGGAAAATAGACAGTGCCCATCCCCGGGCATTTTCTTAACTATCATCACTGCATTTTCATATCGCATGTGCTCCATTTTGCTGATCTCTTTTCACTTTTAGTTTGTTCACTCCATGGTACCGGGCAATATTTAAATAAATACATAATAAGCAATGCTGTGATATAACCACCGACAAACCGACATGAATCTCATACTTAACTCTTGATCGAGAATCCATAACGGCAGATACAAATGTGTAGCGATCCCATCTGTCAAAACCATAGAAATTTGTTATCTAGATAAAAATAATTTGCCCGGAATAGTCCTCTCCAGGCGGGTTCGTATTGGTGAGATTTGCGTGTGTTAGTGAGATGAAATTTTTTGTTAGCTGTGAGAAAATGTTTGTTTGCTGTAAGAACTGTCATTCTAAAGTAAAAATAAACAACAAAACGAAAACAAACCCTACGCTTGCACGATAACAGTCAAATACCCTTTTATGAGTAAAATTTAACCCGTTTTTAATAAAAGTGGTTTTACTCATTAATGAGTACATTATTTTAACAACAATGAGTTTCTGCTAACAGTAGCAAATAGTTACTACTTAATTGACATAATAAATTATTGATTAATTAGTAGTGCCACTTTTATTGACAATGGGTTCACTTTAAATCATAAATGGATGTTTTATTCTTACCGTGCACATGACAGTATACGCTAGTGTGTGTAAAATTATATTATTAGTGTAGTGTTCGTGAGATCCTGCTTGGAGAACTCAATAGATTGGACACGAACCAACTCATACATTTTGTATGTGTGTTCGTGAATAGGATACACATTTTTCGCGAACACGGCGGCAGATGTCAGTTTTGTGCTTTGATCAGAAATTTGATGGTACTTTGTATGGTCATTCATGTCGGTTTGTCGGTGATATAACCACAACGGGATGACCGTTCAGAATGTTTCATCGGATGTGAAATGAGGGATCATTTAAATTTAACATGAAATACTTTAATTTCAACACAACATAATTTTTTGTATGACTAATATTTTTTTTACTGCAGCCATAAGAAGTATTGCAAAATTGTGATTAGTGATATAAATGCCTATATCGTAAACTCTCGGTTGTCACCTATTAGTCTTCCACAAAATCACGAACGTCCATAACATTAATTGCTTTGTATATTTGGTTGAAGAATGAAGTGATTTGCTCTGCAACAATATTAAATGTATCAAAACGGTGCTTTAGAGAAATGAGATGGTCATAGACTCTGAGAAATCCTCCGGTAGACCTTAAACAACCTTAAAACGAATAGCATCAGGTGATGTAGTGGTAAGCGTGATTACCTCTCACCCCAGCAGGCATGGGTTCAAACCCAGTCGGAAGTAAATCCGTTGGTCCCCGGTTCATGAGTTGATGGGTCGATATGTAGGGTCCAGGTGTCGAAGCCGCCTCCCTGGCTTCGGTAGCATTGCACGTAAAACAAGATCGACGGAAAACAAAATCAAGGGAAAAAATACAGCAAAGGGTGGTCATAGACTGGGTGATACAGTGAAGGACACGATACATCTGTTAAATTGATAATATCATGTGTTTGGTCTTATAGTACGTTCAGACTACAGTGTTATAACATGTTATAGCGCTATCTTGATGGTGATTTCTGTGTTGCAATTATTTGACAACCGTAATAACATGTTATAACCATAGAGGTAACTCTAAGACCACTGGGTCCCGAAGAAAATCATTATTATTTTTGGCTCACTCAGTACCAGAACAACGGTCCCAAGCAGTCCCAAGCTATTTCACTCACCCCTGCATGTTCTGCATGAATCCACACACCCCTGATGTTATCTGTCAAACTTTCATAGCGAATCAAAACAAACATAGTGTAGTAATAGAATTTCAACTAGAATAGGGTACGTTAATCGTTTGCTTGGGACCAATAGGCTACTAAAGTGGTGAGCCAATTTAAAATCGTTAGTTTCGTATTGATTGTTGTTATAACTCTCCAGTCTGGACAGCGTTTTAAAATGCAAGGAATTTTCACTAGAATTTTACCAAATACAACAACATATATTTTTCCTGATGTGAAACCCGGTTCCAGCGGAAAATCCGCAAAATTGATAGGTTCGAATGCACCAAATGACAATTTAACCACAGACAAACAGACATAACACTCGTAAGTTGTTCATCGAACAAGCATTTAACGAACAATTTAAAAGTATCGTAGTTGGTAGTACCGCCACCTGTGGCGCGCATAGTCAATTTCCTTGCGTTTGACGTTTACACACTACCGCCATCTGTTCAACGTAGTGCCCACCACTGTGTACTCAATAGATGGCGGTAATGTTTTAGTGACGATGTTTTACAGTGAGAAATATTCAATGTGTTATGTCTGTTTGTCTGTGATTTAACTATAATTTAACCATACATTTCAA